TCTAACTTCAAGAAAATATGGTTCAAATTTTAGCTTATTAAAACATTATAAAATTTTAAGATTATCAAACATAATAAACTACCACAAAGGAGCAAACAATTATATATACATATATAAATGCATTATTACTCAGTTGAATGCATAATTTCAAAATTTTAAAGTTCTATATCTTATAGTTACAAATTATTGTATTTTGGCAGTTAACAGTCAATGAAAAGTTAAAGTTTTGATTGAATATATACATAGGCTTTAAATATGCATTACCTCTTTGGTGAATTCCAAACGTGATTTTATGTTCAGATTTCCACCAAGTCCCCTTATGAGATTAATAATAAATTGGTCATGATCTTTGCAGCCATGTAGATGTGACAAACCATTCATCACAGTCCCAACCAAACTTGTTTCTACCACATAGTCATTCTGTTGATTAAAATCCATGGTACAGACAAACAAAAGGCAAACATTAACCAGTACACTTAGAACCATACAGACTGACACATATCTTTTCAAGGACCACCTTTAAATTTATCCCTCTATTGAAGTTGTAGAAAGTTTGGATTTCATTATGTATACATACATATGCTTTTAAAATAAAGAGTAATGGTGAAAACACAATTATATATTTCTAGTTATAAGTGCTAGAGTCCTCAAATAGATACATGATTTATTTACTTCTCAAACCTGAAGGATACAAAAGAAAAGGTAAGTTAGTGGCATTGGTCCAAAAAGAATAGATGTCATTTCCTCTTGCTGATAAAAAGGAAACTAGAGTCAAGAGTTAGATTGATGGCACCGGAAAAGAAAGGTTAGGAAAAGCAGGCTTAAATGAAAAACCATTTGAAGCCTTCTCTGTAAACAGAATTTTAAAATACAATTTTTGGACTTAAGTGGTATAGATGGCTTGATCTGTAGGCCCCTCTGGGGCCTCTGGTAAGTGTTAGGCAGTTCAGAGGAAAAATACTTCTCACAGCCTTTTCATAAATATTTACAGAGAATCAATCATGCATTAGGATACGTATGTGGTGCTAGGTATAAAAAAAAGGTGGTGCTAGGTATAAAAAAGAAAGGTGGAAACAGAGTCCCTGTCCTCATGGAACTCAAGCGTAGTGGAGGAAATGATTAACAAATTGTAGTAAGACTTGCTGGGTGTGGTGGCTCATGCCTGTAATCCTACCACTTTCGGAGGCTGAGGCCAAAGGATTGCTTGAGGCCAGGAGTTCAAGACCAGTCTGAGCAACATAGTGAGACCCCTGTCTCTACTAAAAATAATTTAAAAATTAGTGTGCCTGTAATCCCAGCTACTCAGGAGGCTGAGCCAGGAGGATTGCTGGAGCCCCGAAGTTTGAGGTTGCAGTGAGCTGTAATGACACCACTGCACTGTAGCCCAAGCAACAGAGCAAGACTCTATTT